TATTTGGTATGCCTATAGCTATTAGAAACCGAGAAAAGAAATCCTCTAGTAACATATATCAATTATGTACACATACTTTTTAGTTAAATAACTTATCGTATACTCATATTGATCACTTTATGTATCTTGACAGTTGATTGGTGGGATTCTTACGATGCAGCAACTCCAGTTCTGCAGGAACTTGCTATAAGGATCCTTAGTCTCGCTTGTAGCTTCTCTAGGTGTGAAAGAAACTGGAGTATTTTTGAACACGTATATTTAATTTTTATTAATTGAATAAAAATATACTTATAGAATTAAGGATTTCAAGTACTAATTTAATTATTTGACTTTATATGAGTTGCAGATACACACCAAGAGGAATAGGTTGGATCACAATAGGTTGCAAAATCTAGTATATTGTAAATATAATCAAGCTATGAAGAAAAGATTCGACTACAGAGATATTGTCGATCCAATCAAGTTGATTGGTATAGATGAAAGAAACGAGTGGTTGTTAGATCAAATTAGAGAGGGCAACTATGCGGAGAATGACTTGGTGGATGAGGAGGATGACCTTAGATGGGGTGTTGTAAGCGAAGCAACGGGAGTTGAAGAAAATTTTAGACCAACTTTAAGGTCTACTGTTAGGGTTCGAGGATCTTCAAGTGGTATTGCTTCGTAATCTAGGAGCGAGCCAGACTCCGAGGATGAAAAAGAGTTCAATAAAGAAGAGGAGGAAACTGAGGATGAGGAAATTCCACTTCAGTTAGATGACGATGATGATGAGGATGACTAGACACTGTAATTTTGCTACTTGCTTATTTTGTTTCGTAGACTTTTGCTTATGTTGGATATTATCTTGCATTGTAATTTGTAAAAACTTACGAACTTCTCTATGTTATGCATGCTAAATTGCTAATTTAGATTCTTTCGTGATTTAGTAGGTAAAATTATACTTCTTAGTCTTTTTATATGACAATTTATAAAGATCTCACATTATTGGTTGGTTGATAGAGAATCAAAGTTGACTTACCAATGAATAACGAAATGCTATGGTTCTCACTCGAAAACTACTTATAATTTTTTGACTTCCACTTCCGCATCTCCCTCGGTTCAAGAGAAAGCTGAGAATGTTGCTTATATGATTCTTTGTCTTATGTTAGAAAATATTAGTTTGAGTTATGCGTCTCAATTCAGTGAGGCGCGTGCATCGTTGTGCGCTTTGCGCATGGTAAGGCAATTTTTGAAGACAGTGCAACCTGCATTGTAATTACAATGTACAGGTAAGACATACCTTCGTAAGAATGCAATCTATATTGCACATGGAATGATTAAGGTAATGCATTGATTAAGGCCAAATATACACAATATATGAGCCCATTTGTGCACCATGATAATTTTCTGATCAGTCCTGTGTTGGGTGCTTTATTTGCCGGTGATTGGTGCACCCTAATGGTTTTCTACTCAGTTCTATCTTGGGTGCTTTATAACTAGCGATTTGAGCACCTTGCTATATTTCTATTCAATTCTGTATTGGGTGCTTTATCTGATGGGGTTTTCTGCTCAATTCTGCTTTATATGCTGGTGTCTTGTGTACTGCTACCCAGTTTTTATGAATTTCTTTGCCGAAGCATTTTGCTCCTTGTTTTGCTGGTTGATTATCTGTTGGGTGCTTTATTTGCTCATCCTTTTTGTTCACTTGTGTGTTGCTGCTCAGTTCTTGTGTGATCTTTCTTTGCTAGAGCTTTCTTCTCCTTGTTGTTTTGCTGGTTAGTTCTCTATTGTTGCTTTCTTTGCTGGTGCTTTCTGTTCGTTTAGGTGTTGCGACTCAGTTCTCTGGGTGCTTTCATTGTTGGAGCTTTGTGCTCCTTGTTGTTTTGCTGGTCAGTTTCTCTGTTGGTGCTTTCTGTCCCCGTGTTATATACCCCCTTATTTATTGGGATTGTTTTATTAAACGGTTCTTTTTTGAAGCTCTATTTTAGATGATTGGCAATGATGATGGTCTATTATTGAGAATGTAATCTAACTTACAGTATTTCTGTTCAGATAAGGTACTCTTTGATGAATGCAACCTACATTGAAACAACAATGTTTATATGAGGCAATCCATCATTAGAATGCAATCTACAATAAACTTGTAAGTTATACATAAGGCAATCAATTTTGACAAAATGACCTATTTCTAAGCCATACAATATCACTAAAATTGTGTTGATAGTTTCCTTTATACTGAATTTCAATTTTTTTATTACAATATCAATAGTTTTTGCGAGTACATGACATGAGGTTTACGATAATTAAAATCATACAAAATATTACTAAAAAGATTGCATATATGATATATTTTCTAAGTTTAGAGTTGTTTTTTCAACGAGCTTCAAATCTTTTTTCAACCTCTTCGATTTCAAAACATATATATCTCCAAACTTGTTTTCTTTGACAAATTGGATTCCTTGGTTGCTTATTTCTCCTCCTTCATGAGCCCATTCAAAAAAATTACATTCTTTATTTGGGTATTTTGCACAGCCCCAATAATACCTCCCTTTATTTCCCATACTTGCATACTTTTGTGGGTATTTGGAGATTACAATAGCACTAAATTTCATATGATAGAGGGCATTCTTTTGATATCATATTGATGGAAGAGATGAACCTTGCAAACAATGAGAATTTGATATAATGGCTTTTTGAGGGATGCACTTGAACAATGAGAGTTCAATCCACATTTATAAGCTCCAAGGGTCTCAAACTAGTCGTTGCACTCTTTTTTTCGGTTGGTGATTTTGGCAAACGGGTAAGATTACCCCAACTCAAGATTTGTGAAATTTTTGTCTACTAGGAGTAGTAAGTTTATCTGGTGTTGTCATTCATTTACTCATAAATTTTCTCATTTCAGACCAAACAAAAAAATAGGAATTCAAGCTTGTCTATAAAGTAAGAATCCATATTTTCATGTTATGAACCAAATATCGAAAGATCAAAAAATAGGAAATCAAAGAATTTTATGACAATTAAAATTTATCCTTAAAATATTTATAGATTAGGAAGGAATCAAAAAAAAACACTCTTTTCCTAATCATATTCTTTATGGAAATGGAACCAAGCAGCCCCTAAGACTAAACCAAAACATAGTCGTCTACCTCCAAATCATTACTCAGACAAAACAACAAGTGCTTTGGATAAAACGACAAATGCATCAATATGAACTCCACTTTCACAACCTTCTCCACGCCTATCACCTTTTGCAAACTCATCAATGTAGTTCAATTAATGAGTTAAATGTCAATTAGAGTGGCATGTAGGATTAGTTGTGTATTGGCAACTCATTAGCAAACAAATATTTTTCTATATCCTTCTTAGTTATTGCCAATACCACCGTCGTCCTGAACACCAACATCGACATCTATCTCGCTTTCAAGAACTCCACCACATTAAATGAGTGGTACCTCAAATTGATGCTCACTCCCATGTGCACCACCCATGTGGTCGCAATTGGCCCCTACCACTTCTTCAATCGCAAGATAAAAATATTGTGGGCTAGGACATGGCAGAGAGAGAATTGGGCAAGCGTTAGGGGTTATAAAGGTCAAAATTAGAGTAACGGGTATAAAAGTCAATAATATATTATTCTGTTAGATAACTAACATCAGATTTTGAGGATAAATTTGTAAATATCAAGATTTAGAGGTAAATTTGCAAATATTATTGATTTGAAGGGTATATATGCAAAAAAACCTATAGTTTTGATATCTACTTTGGTTTCCAAAAGCCATTCCTTATTCAGGAATTATATTCTAGGGCCAGAGCGAATCCAAAGCTTAGGATTGGAGAGACCATGAAGAAATTAGTTGATTATGCGCAAAATGTCAATGTTACATAACCTTTATCTGCAATGCCACTGCATACAAATGAGAAACAATTATGGTCGAGGATTTGAATATCTACAAAAATGAAGTGCTTGTTGTTCTCTATTTATATCATCTAGAGATCTTGTTAGACTGTGGTTGTGGACAATCCTAGAAACAAGGTGCTTAGCATGGTAATAAAAGCATTGTTAATGGATCTCACAGTGCTCCTTTATTGTGATTCCATTTGGGAAAGCTTTGTTCCACTTATCTACATCGTACGATATGCTTTAGACCAATGTGCCCAGAGAAGACGCTCAAAGTTTATTGATTGAGAAGGATCTCTTTGGTGGAGAAACACTAAATGTGATATCTTATTCGGTTCTTGGGGAGGTTCAGAGAGGGTTGAGGGTCCAATGAACTATAAGCAACGGCAAGTTAGAAACCTCTGAGATGGGTTTATGCAACTCCCATTAACCTTAACTAACAAATGTGAGGGTATTTAGCATTACTATATTACAGAAATAAATCCCACAATGTTAAGTGAGGGGTGGGGAAAACTAATGTGGGAAAGTTTGGGGGTTTAAATTTGCATATGTCTAGCTTCGAAGTAAATTTGGTAGATTGGGGGCACATAGGCAACAAACAGTAGTTTTCATAGGTAAATTTGGACCTCTTTGATACACCTTCATACAGAAGATCTAGGGGTATACTTGTAGGTATGTTGCTTAACAGAACATGTTCAATTATATAAATATTGCTCCGTTTGTGATCATGCTAATAAAAAAATGAAACCCATGTCGGTACATATCTTGAAATCAGCTACACTAAATTTGCACACCAATATCTGACCACACTAGATCTTAGAGCATGACACTACACACATTAAGTCATCATTCTTTTTGAAAGGTTTTGAGGTTTTTAATTTATGTATTTTGAGGTTTGGAAATCAAACATCACCGTCAATACTAACTAGTAGTCTCTAAATAGATGGCAGATGAGCATAATACTTCACAATACTAATTTTATTCAGATTGACACAGCATAAGGTTTTATAGGCTCAGAAATGCCAATTAACAGCCAACTTCGGAGTACATCTATAAGAAATCAACAAAAGAATCCTAAAACTCAGAAAAATTTCAATCCAATCAATTAAAAGAAAAAAAAACTAACCCAATACCGAAGTGACAAGAACTCCATAGCGTTCTGCTCCCCTCCCCTACTCCCAACCCCCGCCTCCGCTGTAGCGGAGCTTACCAAGCTCATCCTCTTTGCCGCCTTCATCTGCACTGAGTCCAAATCCTCCACCCCATCCGGATCCGATGCGCTCAGCGCCAACGCCAACTGTACCTGGTACTCTTCCTCAAACAAACTAAAATCGCCCCCAGTCCCCGCCGTCCCAACGGTCGCCGACGTCGTCACCAGATCCAACTTTGATCCGCTACCGGCCTCCGACACCACTCCTAGATCGGCCGCCGATAGCAGATCGGGCTGGTTGTGATCGATCCCTCCGCCTCCGCCGCTTCCGCCGCCGATGTGGAGCTTCCGCAGTAGATGCTTCATCTTCGACATCAAGCATCAGATCGAAGACGAAACCCTCGCTCTCTCTCTCGTTGAGCTTATAAAAATTAAAGAAATAATCTAAACCCAATTCTTAAAACCTTTTCCGCTTTGCAATATTTTAAGGGGAAGATTCGCTGACTCGCTGGAGGAGGGGGGAAGTCGGCAACTTGGGTGTTAATTGGGTGAGTGAGGGAGCGGGGTCCACTCTGACCGGTTCACTGGCTGTAGCAGGTCGAGAGGGGGGAAGACGACGAGTTTTGACTCCGGCTGGTTGGAAACTTACCGGATATAGAGCGGATGCGTGGGCCCAGTTAATTTTGGCAAGTTGGGAAGTGGGATGGTGACTTGGTAGGGTTTAAGGGACACTGACATGTGGGGCCCGCCAACTTGGGTGGAGTTAGTGCACGTGGGCTCTGGTGACGTGTGCTCTATTGGGTTGCCGGGAGGTCCGGGCTCACGTGGAGGGGGCGCGCCGTGTTCTTGTTGGTCGCTGGGCTGGAGCATGCTTCGGTGCTCCAAATGGAGTTTTTTTTTTAGTTTTAAACGTGAGAATCCAAAAAAGACTGAAGAATAGTATAAAATAGTGTGCACACCCGTATAAAACATGTCCCTCTATTTTTTTAAGCATTACGTTTTGTACTTACTACCATCTAAGTTTTAATATATTTGATTTACTTATTGTATGCTTAAAATTACAAATCAAATCTACTCATTTATACTTAAAAAAGGATCCAAGTTTTAATACATTTGATTTAGAAATCGTATCTACTCCTCTATACTTAAAGAATGATTCAAGTTTTAATACATTTGATTTGATTTACTGTTTATGATACAGTAAATCACTATAGTATAAATAGTAACTTCAAGTATGGCGGAGCAGATTTTGGTTACTGCTTATGCTACAGCAAATTACTGTAGCATGAACAGTAACTTAGATTTGTTTTACTGTTCATGCTAAAGTATTATAGTATTTATTGTAGTATAAACATTGATTCTTTGGATTCTCCTTTAATTATAGAGGAGTGGATTGTGTCAATATTCTACAAAATAAAATTTTATGTGCTCCAGCTCCTCGTACAATTTCTATTGTGCAAAGTCTTAAATATGTTTTCAAAATCTATATAAGCTTCTAATATTATGTCAACTAAAAAGAGAGGGAAAATCCAAAATAATCTCTATTTTGCCCCTCATAATTGCAGCCCCTTTCTCTCAATGGACTCCATAGTCATTGTAAGATTTATCCTCTCTTTCCTCCCCCGCTCAGCCCTTTTCCTCTCTCATCTTCGATCTCCACCTCCTCCCTTTCTTGTCTTCGCTCAACTCTCCTCCTTCAAACTTCCAACTTAACCCTCTCCAGGGTTCGTCATCTCTTTATTTCTCTCCTTCAATCGTCTCCTCCTCATCTACCACCACTGACCTTGAGCACATCCTCAACAAGTTCGACCCTAGTGGCGACGATAAAATCTCTTCCTCTGAGCTCGTCGCCATCTTCTCCTCCGTCAACCACCACCTCTCCCCCTTTAAACTCTCCCGCATAATGGATAAGATCGTCATCTTCTTTGTCAAACTCCCTCTTCTTCCCTCACTATCGCCAACTCCACCGCCGATCTCCGAACTGAGCAAACCTAACTCCTCAAAAACCACCTACGACTTCCTCTCCTCTCCCTTCCATTATTCTCTCAAACAAATTTCATAATTGGATTATGTTATTTTACTTCTTAGTGATAGATGAGAGCTTGCCTAGTTTATTATTAATTGAAATGGATGAGTGGGATTTGGTTTCTTGGAATTGTATGATAAATGGTTACATGGTATGTGGTGGTCTAGAGATTGTTTGTAAAGCGTTTGATGAAATGCTAAAGAGAAATGTAGTTCATTATGCTGTGATAATAACATATCATGTATAAAGAAAACATCATGGAGATCTCGTGTGTAAACATTAAAATTATACAAACTTATAATTGTATGGGTTGATTGTGAATTATGAAGGATTAGCTATGAATCTTACATAATTGATATTAACTTTACTCATTGTAAGTTAAGTTTATAGCATAACCATTGAGTTATACAATGAATGTTAATTTTGAATGTTGGTTGTTAAGTTTACCCATTTGATGTTAAGTTTAGAGTACAATTGCTGGGGTTGGGGGAGAGGAGGTTTTGCAAAAAATTTTGGTGGTTATTTACAACTTTAGAAACTTTCAGCGGATGGTTTGTAAAAATCCTTTGGATAAAATTCATAAATGTTATATCATAGAAACCATTTAGTGTAAATCTCACTCAGAAAGCGACATGTGTCATGATCAATTGGATATCAACCCGACCTGTCTTATAAAGGCCAGCTCGAAAGTCATATTCACTCATCCCTGTTCAGAAGACCGACTCAAAAGACATCTACACTCGAGCCATCTTAGATATTCGAGGCGTCCTCACTCAGCAGTCCGAGTCGAGAGGCATCATCACTCGATCTCTCTCGAAGGACCAAGACGAAAGTATAGGCGCCTAAAAATACATATAGGTATCCGAATATAGCTCGAGATGAAGAGAAGACGATGAATATCATTATCTAAGTCGGAGAGGATTATCCGAGCAAAAGAGGATCATCCAAAGCCATAAAGAAGCTAACGAGCGTACGAAGCAAGTCAGCAAAGCGTACAAGTCGACTAAATGACAAAAGACACAAAGTGACGGAAAATACAAGTCCGGAAGGCCAAAAAATAGCTAAATCTTGAACTGACCCACGACCGCGCGGGACACTACTTGGTGACCCGCGCCCCCGCGGGACACCAAATGGTGTCTTACGCCCCCGCAGGACACCAGGACTTGTCGTGCACCTGACTTCCCAAAACGCGTTTTTGGGTGATTCTTTCGGGATTTCTTCGTTCCAAAGGTTCCCAACTGACTTGATATCATCCATAAACATGGTTAGGCTATTGTCAACTAAATATATGGTCAAATTATTCATTCTTATCCAAATACCCTGCATCTGAAGCCCTATAAATACAAGCCTAGGGCTTTCTTTCACATGGGGCGATTTTTTATCAAAGAGGGCGAGGTGTTGCGGGTTTTGTGAGTGCATTCCACGAAATTTCAGAGAGGGCTAACAGATCTTGGCGAATCTCAGCATAAAGAAAGAGCAATTCGAATAATTTGAAGCCCTGTCCACCCTTTCCTTCAGATCAGACTTGGACTTGACCTCGAGAAGAGTCGGAATCTCGCTTGGTCGAGATTATCACTTCTGTTCTTATTTCCTTTGTGAAGCAACGAACTTCTAGCCTTCCGATCAACTGGATCGATCCATGGCGGTCCATGGATATTGACGTTCCCAGTACATGCAAATATCTCATGCAAACAGAGACTAATAAATAGGATCTGTGTATTATTTGACAAAGTTATAATCTTTTATTTTTCATTGTATAAGGAGATCTTATAAAAAGTTCAACTTTTCTATTTTTTAAATTTGTAATCGATGAACAATTGTAGCAGGTTCAATGATAATGAAAAAGGTAACTTTTGAACCAAACACGCTGGCGACCACAGTGGGAGTCAACAGCCTCTCTGCCGAGGCAGTAGTGTCACAACCTCAGATCCGGATCCTAGTTGGCAAAGAGGTCGAGTACGACTTCGAGCAACAGAAGTTCAAGGAGTATTTGTCGTCTTCCTTCTTCAGATCCTCCTCCTCTCACAAGCGTAGAAAGATTAACGCCCATGTTACTGCTGTAGTAGCATCTCGCAACGCCCCTCCGGCGTCCAATAAAGTAGGAGTTGCAGATATGAACTCCTCCTCAATCAAGGAGTTGAGTACTGAAGGCGCTCCAACCCTATCAAAGAGAGCACGCCAAAGGCGTAGCCGATAGACATGATTTGTTATCAGTCAGATCTGAAATTTAGGAACCGCCAAGTGCCTCAACAGCAGGTAAATAACCCCTCCTCCAAACCAGCAATGAATGAATGGATCCAAGTCTAAAGGACCTATTCAACCCTTGAGGAGCACATCCAAAAGCGTCGCGCACTCCTTGTGCATGTGAAAATTCTTATGCAGAAGGCTCGAGAGTTGCAGAAGAAAGAAGTCGCCAAGGAACCATCAAAACCCTGGCAAAATTTGGATTCCAAAGTCCAAAACTATGTGAAAATTAAGTCGGGAGATAATAGGAAATTCTTGTAGCCAAGACAGCCTGAGCTATCTCGCACCTGGCCGAGACAGCCTGAGCTGTCTCACCCCTGGCCGAGACAGCCTGAGCTATCTCATACCTGGCCGAGACAGCCAAAGCTATCTCGCACCTGGCTAAGACAGCCAAAGATGTATCGCACCTGGCTGAGACACCAATGGTTGTCTCGCACCTGGCCGAGACACCAATGGTTGTCTCGCCCAAAGAGCTAGCTCCGCGACTACTTTCGTGTCTTCGACAGCCCTCGTTTCTATTATGATGGATCTTGTACCTCCAATGAAGCCTCATGACAGTGTGGATCCCTCCTGATCCAAAATAACGATGGCACATCATCTTTGCCCTTTACACGAGGATCGAGGTAAAGCTCAGGTTAAATAATGCTTGGGTCCATTGAATGAACCCGAGCAACTTGTCAAGCTAGGGGTTGCACATGCCTTCGCAACAAGTCAGAGCCTTCGTATAATGGGAAAACTCCTATAACTGACTGCCTTAGATTGCGAGTCATTGTCCAAGAGCCCGTTGAGGCCCCGCGCTCACGAAAGCATGGCTCTAAACGTTTGACTCTTGAGAACGCTAACAAAGCATTAAAACCTCAAAAGGAAACGTGTTTGTTTGACGACAACAATGTTATACCTGGAAAGTTGTGCCAACACACGATAGATTGCTTCGGTAATCATGCCGATGAGTGTAGGGTGAAAATTTGATTCTTCCGAAGGAAGGAGTTTCGTTTGTATTTATAAGAAAGCTTATTACAAACTAACAAATCAAATATTTACAACAGAAGCAGAGGGAAGGCCCTCTTTGTTTTTGTGTGGGGACTTTAGGTGGCGATAGGATGCCTCGCTCGGTGCTCGTGCCGAGTCTGCTTCCCTTGGACGATCCGATCGAAGTTGATGCCGGAGCCGGAGCTTCGGTTCTCAAATGAGGGAGCCTTTGGCAAAGGTCCAGGTTCAACCTTTGGGAGATTAGCCAGCAGAATATGCAAC